TGTCTTTTTGTTGGTGTTATATTCGTTAGTGCTGCAATTAACATTACTTAAAACATAGATGGCTAGTTGAGTTTCCTTTTTATCTGAGATGGAGGAGGATTGTTTTGTCTTATTTAAATCCTAAGCATATTTTACTTTAGGTATGTAAACACTGTCCTGTAACTTCATATTCTTTTTCTTGTGCTTCAATATGCTCTAAAAAAATAACCTTTTATGGTAAATTGAAACAAGAACACATGTAGAAAATGATAGCTTAGATGCTCAGAATTCACTTTCAAAAAAAATTCTCTTATAGAAGAATTAAGTCTTTGTATGTGATTCCTACCCACCCACCCCAGGATTTAGTTTCTACTAGCATCTCTAACTAAGCTTTGGTTTGTCTTTACAGGACAATTTTCTAGTAAGTAGCCAACAGATAAACATCTTGGGAAGCATCACGAGCATTAAGCTATGGGTCTTCCTGTTACTTGAAGTTACAACAGAATCTGTTCCTCTGATAAAATAATTTCCCAAGTTTCCAGTATACTGTGTAGTCAGTAAAATTAATGAATCACAATCTAGAATGAATTTAAAGTTATTTTAGAATAATTTAATATTTTTAAAAGTTTTTTGTTGTATACAGTAATTTTACTGCATTGGTCTAGACTGCTATTGGGCTAAACTCTTGAGTACTTGATGACTGGTGTTGTTCTTGGGAAAACCAGAATGATTCCTTGTTTTCTCCAAAACGTAATGAATCTTTAGGGTGGTCTTACTCCCATGAGACTGGCACAACAAACTTTCCTAACTTTTTGAGCTATAGTATGATTTCAAAGCATCGTGTATCTGATACCCAACTCATAGGAAACAGGTGCAAGGAAAGAGAATGAGGTGCATGCCAGGAATTCCAGCCCACAGCAGTTAGAGTTTGTGGGCACAGTGCGGAGGCTGGCCAGACAATGACACCCCAATTCTCTGTGCTGGACCTCTAGGGAACAGGCAAGGAGAGCCGTGTTACCTGCTGAAAGAAGCTAGAGATGGCTGTGCAGGAAATGGGGACAAGGCAAGGGGCCACAACTGATTTGTAGCCGCTATTTAATACATAAAATGATTACACAACCAGACATTTTAAAAATTATTAAATTCCTAAACTCAGCTAACAAGAAGATTATTCATCTCAAACGTGACATATTTTAGGATTCATAGCTTGAGTATAACATTGTCCAGTATTATTAAAACAGTAATAATACTCTGCTTTTCAAAATGTATTTGAGAGGAATGCTTCATTTTAGTCAAAACATTTTTTTGTGGAACTAATAGGGAGGTAGTGTATGTCTAGAGCTAGAGCTGTGTCAGCATTTATTTTTAGTGGACTACCATCGTTCATCATTTGTTGAACTCACTTTTATACCCTTCTGCCTCTCAAACTGGTACTCTTTTTTCTATATAAAAATTCCTAAATTATTCCCACATAGCTAATCCAAACAGCCACTGTAAAATTAGAAAACTGTGCTTAGCACCATTTTTTAAAAAATGAATTTATTAGGGGCAGGAGAGATGGCTCAGCAGTTAAGAACACTGGTTGTTCTTGCAGAAGACCCGGGTTTGAATCCCAGCACCCACATGGCGGCTAACAACTGTCCATAACTCCAGTTCCAGGCGATCCGACAGCCTCTTCTGACTTCCATGGGCATTGCACAACACGGGTGCACTACATGCAGGCAATACATGCATACCCATGAAATAAAAATAATAAATAAATTTTTTTAAATGAGTTTATTAGGATAGGATTTGCCTAAGTAAAAAGATAATATTGTTTTTGGTAAAGGTGAGGTTGAAGTATCAAGTAAAGGTTAAGAACAGACACTTGGGGCTCTGATTTGAAATGTGAATATAATATGTATCAGCAGAGAAATGATAACTGTGATTTGAAGGGAATGATTATGAGGACCACAGGAGGAAACTTCATCAGGCAAGAGACTTAAATATGTCTTGAAAGACTCATAATTGGAGAAATAGTTTAATTTGCCCCTCTGACCCATACAAAAATTAAATGGGTCTTGGAGACAGTTGTGAACTACCAGAGACTTAACCAATTAGTGGCTTTAATTGTGGTTGCTTAACCAGATGTGAGATCAATGTTAGAGCTGATTGATAAGGTATGAGATTCTCAACAATTGATCTGGGGAATGCATGCTTTCCATTCCAGTTCTAAGAGGATTCAAATGGTGTCGGACGCTCCGACAGGCACGGCACACGGGGAGAGGCCAGGACCAGCCTGGGTCCCTCTCTTTAGGGGCTGAGCAGGATGGTGAGTGTCGGCGACTCAAAAACCACACCGAGTCGGGAGTCTCGTCAAGGCAGGAACTCACTTTATTGCATCAGGCATCAACTTATATAGTTTAAGCAGAAGGGGTGTGGAAAAGTCGGTGGGTATAGGAATGTGTCATCTGGGGTGAAGACTGTGGGCCACTGGGAACTTATTAGGCCAGTTGTTACAGGGCAGAGGCAATCTTAGATAGGACACTGCTAAGTCACCTCCACACGGAAGTGACAGGCCAGAGACAGGTCGCTAAACTTTAGCCTGGCTTAGGAAATTATATTAGGCCTCATTTTCCTCCATGCCATGTGTATGAGGGTCCCGAAGGCCCAACAAAATGGTAAGCTTGGGCCAGGTTGTAATCTCAACTACTTAGAGTGAGTTCAAGGTCATCTGAGCAATTTAGTGACACTGTATCAAAAATTAAAAAGTAAAAAATAAAAATAAGGGATGGGGTATGCTAGAGAGATGGTTTAGTGATTAAGAGCACTGGCTATTTTTACAGAGAACCTGGGTTTGGTTCCCAGCACCCACATGGCAGCTAACAACTGTCCTTAACTCCAGTTCCAGGGGTTCCTACGCCCTCTGCTAGCTTCCATGGGTATTGCACAACAGGGGTGCACTTAACTACATGCAGGCAAAGCATACATATAAAAATAAACTTTTTTTTAAGTATAAAAAAGGATTAGCTCAGTTGTGGAATTGCCTCCCAACACTGGGACAACAACGAAAAGAAGTTTGTGACTTTCAGCTCAAAAAAATATGATGCTTGGAAGTCTTTCCTGCTGTCAGTATAATAGGAAAAAGAGAACAAACTGAAAATCAGTGATGTGGTGCACTGATTGGAGAATTGAGTTTGCAAAGCAAATTCCCACCCTAAAATCTAGTTGAGCAGATTTATCCATTTACAGCTGAGCACTGCTTGCCTGGAATAGAAACTGCTGGGGGTGTAAACTGTTGGGAACATTTAAGTGATCCTTTTGATGAATTACTTGAGGAAAGAAAATAGACATAAATCTACTATTAAAGTTAGAGACTTCAACACTCTCTGTTGGTAATGAATAGATTAAGCAGCCACAAAGTCTGTGAAGATGAGATTGATCTGAACAGGACTCTCAGCAACTTGATCCACCTGACATTACAGACTGCTCTGTACAACAGCAGAAGTTCACATTGTAGCATTTACCAAAACAGAGTAGGGCCCCTGTTACCACAAGGCCTGGCATACAGGAGGTGTTTGATGTGTTTTTAAACAGATGAATAAATCACAGAATTAGGCTAAAAAGCCAAAGACTCTAGTCAGGCTGAGAATAACAGCAAGTAACAGACTAAACATAAAGTCTTAAAATTTTTAAACCTCAAAGGTCACAGCTGCAAATATGTACTGATAAATATTATGTAAAAACCGTCTGCCAGAGACTGCCACTTGAGTGATGTTACAAAGCTTCATTTTCACCATGTGCTTCTTTCATAATTTGAGATGACACTCCAGCTAGCATTCCAAGCCTGTTAACCAGGTGCTTCCCTGGTTAAGGTTCATCTGAAGCCATTTCCAGTAAGCTGAAACCGATAGGGCAGGAGGCTCATAGAAAGGTAGCTTTAGAAAAGAAAGTTCTGGAGTTTGTGAGCAAGGCATTGGGGGGTGGGGGAGGGGAGAAGAATGAGATTAATCTTGAAGCCAAAGGAAAGAAGTAGAATGGTAGATCCAGCAGTAAGGTTGATAATCAGCGTAATTATGAAAATGCTTCAAAATAGAACAATTCTGGAAACCAAGGCCTCAATCCATACACCAGCCATCGTAATGTCTGAAACTTTTCCAAAAGGGTTTGCTTACATTTATTTCATAATTACTAGGAAACTAGTGTTGCTCTCACTGGCAGGTACAAATTGTGCATTTTAATTGTACATTTCTCCAACATTTTAGAATTATGCATATATATAGTGCTACTGATCTTTATCACAATAATCCACTCCCTTCCCTCCTCTTACGAAAGAAGCAGCTTAACCTTTCCTGTCTGTATGGAGGGCTGCCATCTCTGGGAGTTTTCATTAGCATGTACTAAGTAAACTTAAAGCACGTAGTTAGCAATAGGATGTCTAATCTTAATGTCTTTGTCTGTATCCTTTTTGTTACAGTGGCAGCAGTTGTACGACCTAATGCTATTAACTGTTGACACTAATAATTGCTTAATGTATGTGACCTTTGCAATCATTTTACCACAGCTCCACTGTGGGTTAGCAGCATATCTTTGGGCTAATTGGGTAACCTCTGTGAGTTGTAATTTTCTCCACATTAAACAGGAATTTGAGCTATCTCAAGAGTTGTAATTAGAATCAAATGCAATAATATATGGAAAATACTTGTAGTGTGGTTTCTCTTTAGATATTATAAGTCTTTCACCTTTTACTAAAGATTCCATGGAAAGGAACAATCTCTGGCCCAATCTGGGGTCTTAGGACAGCAGAGCTAATTAAAAAAATAAAAAAACAAAGAAAGCTCTTACTATAATACATGACATAGAGTTCCATAAATATTATGAATATTATCTATATTCTTACTATTACTAAAAAGTACATATTACAGACCATGAAATCACAGAATTTTGGGTTACAAGCTAGTCACTTGAATAAAAATTAATGATTTTTTTTATTGTTGCTTAGACCATGAGTACATATAAAAATTTACTGTTTATATTTTCAGGAATCCTTGAACACATTACTTAAGCAACTAGAAAAAGAAAAAAGGAGTCTTGAAAATCAAGTAAAAGACTATGCACTTAAACTAGAACAAGAGTCAAAGGTTTGTTTTCACTCTCTACTAAACAGTGCTTTTGAAGCTGCTATTTATTTCTAGTATTTTCTGCATATCTATTTCATATTCATAAAATTATTTATAAACTCTTTCATGTAATATGAAAAACAGGGACATAAAGCTTAACTTAGCAATGGTCTTTCTAGCACTGCTAACCCTCTTTTTTGTTGGCTTTACTCCATCTTTTACATAGGCATACCACAGAACAAACCATGAACGCCGTACGTGCATAGCTGAAATATCTCAGGTAACTTCCTTTTCTTTTACTTTCAAATTCCTCTGACTATAAATAATGTTTTTACTTTTTCTAGTCTTGTTTGTTTGGCAGAGAAACAGATGTTGGAATTATGGAAGAAAAGGGACTGTGTTTTTTCAATATGTAGGGTAGACAAGAAAATACATAGAAAAAGAAATAAACAGTCTCCCCAGGTAAAATATTCTTTTGCATATTTGCTTCCTTGGTTATCCTTTTAGTTTGATCCATAGTCACCTAATTCAAGCAGATCATCTGTTCCTCTGGAAACATAAAATCCCAGGCATTTCATTATTGACAGATCTAAGCTACACAGCCACAGCGCTGCTCTTCAGAGTGTGTATTTATAAAGAAGGACAGTAGAGAGATCCGCAAATTAGGCCGCATGCATTTTTCATAGGTTTTCATTTGCCTTTCAGTGACATTTGTGATACTATTGCTATTATGAAGCTTAGTTTTTATGTTGCCTGGGCTATTACTTACAGTTTTCTGATGTCATAATTTAAGACCATCTTCATCTCAATGTTTCATAACTTTCACCACATCTTTTATCACATATATACTTTAATATTTGATGTTTAAATATTCAATTTATATTACTTTATTTTGCTATATGACTTAAGATTAGGAGATGAGTTCCATTTTCAACGAATACTGTACAAACAGAAGTATCCAAAAGGCAGGTCAATGATGGTTCTCTGGAAAATGTTATAGATTAGAGAGATACAACTAGAAATTATTAGAAAATAGGTAGTAAATGAAGTCAGGGAAGAAATGAAACATGCATCAAGGAGACCATGTGAGGTGAAAAGAGGAGTCAGTCTAGGACAGCTTTGAACAGCCTCAACAGTGACAACCAAACGCTTAGCTAGATGGGGAAGGAGGGGGAAGGCCTTGAGGGCAGGCTTGTCATGAAGAGTAATCTGCTCTTGGTGATACAGCGTATCTAAAATGATCCATGAAAGGATTCAGAGGAAGAACCAGGTTTGGAGATAAAAGTTCATTAGGGGATGCATACAAAAATACTAGATATTATCTTCCTATTTTTCTTTCTGTGATTTCGTGAGATCCTGTCTCTGTGATAGAACTTCTACCTCCTTCTGGTCTCTTACATCTGAGTTTGCTTCCCTCAACGGTAGGCTCCTCCTGAGGTCACACAGGGTGCCTGACTCTTTCTGTGGCCTTACACTTACTACAAAGAATGTCAAATAGTCAATGTTCTAAACTATTTACAGAACTGAATGAGTACTAAAATTTAGACAGAGTTTTAAAAAACCTGTCATTTAGAAAAAATTTAATGTAAAACACCCTTGAGTGATTTTTAAAGGTCAGAAGTAAAAAGTCCTTTGCTCCTGAATATTCATTTACCTTTATTTATCTGAAAGATTCACTTAGATGGAATAATCCTTCTTTACCCATTCAGGATCACTGAATATACAATCAAAGTCTATTTACCAGCTTTCAGAAAGATGTTAATCCTGTCTTCGGCATAAATGTTAATAAGGATTTCTGTCTAGAGTGAATTGTTGATCTCCACAATCAAAGGCGGTTCTAGCCACGCAGAGACTATGGTGACTGGAAAGGTTAATGGATGATTTTCGTTCTTTCCGTGCTGAATACATGAATAATTGATTCTTTGGTAGATAACTGGAACTATTTGCTGAGTCTGCTGTTTATGCTGCTTGCTGTTCTCTACGTGACTTTGTCTTGTCTCCGACCGGCCTTCATCACCTGTCACCTCTGCTTCTCTTGTCTTCCAGTCCTTGAGGGCTCCTGAATTTAGACAAGACACGCTGAATAGAATGCAGAAGACAGGAAGAGCTTATTAGCACATTGCTTGTGAACTGTATGAGCAGGCAATAGCCAAAGAGACACCATCCTCATCTATACTTTAGATGGACATTATACTATATTCTCTGAGATCTCTAGCACAAGCAGATTTTCCTGAGGGACTTCATCTTGTCCAGATGATTGATAGGTCTTTTTGGATCCTCTCTTAAAGGAGGAAGCAATGATATTTCTTTGTTCTTCATCAGAAAGCCTCTTGGATAATCTTACAAGTTTTAGGACTCCTGGAGCCAGGTTTAGAGTGTTACCCACTAATGGCCCTCTAGGCAGCTCAGGATGTCCTGTCTCCTCCCACAGTCACCAGTATGACTCAGGTTCCTTTTCTAACCAGTAATTAAAGGCTTGCTATTTTAGGTCTTGGTTTTCCAAGCTGTTGACTGTGAGAAAAGGGTCTGGCCCCACTGTCTTCCAAGCTTGCTAAATCTAACTGGTAACTTAACAATTAAAATCCCCATCGCCTTTTAACTGAAATTGATTTTTCCCATGTTAGGATGTTTCTAATTTACACAGTGTGTATACAGTAGTGATACTGCTTCTTAAAGATTCACAGGCACATTGAATTATTAAAGAGACAGGTAGAAAGACTGGCTCTGTTGCAATACCTAATACACTTAAATTTTAGTATGTATTCCATCAACAGAATTTTAGCAAGGACATGAGAAACTACTGTACATAAATGATTTTGTTTACAGATAAAAGACCTAAGGTAGTTCTGTTGGATTGTCAGACATTTCTAAAATTGCTTTTGATTTAATTTAATTTCCTTTTGTATATGTGTGTGTGTGTGTGTGTGTGTGTGTGTGTGTGTGTACATACATGGCTGCACACAGAGAAGCCAGAGGAGGACATCAAGTCCTGCTCTCTCACTGTCTGCCTCTCTGCATTATGCCCTTTAGACGGGACCTCTGACTGAAACTGTAGCTAGGCTGGCAGCCTTGACACTGAGAACTTCATTGACAGCACTGGGCGGGGGGTTTCCTACTGTGTAAATGAGTCCCTGTGTGATTCTCCTCTTATTCTCCTATCGCTCTCTTCAGTTAATCATTGAGTCACTTCTCTGAGGTATTGCCCTTAATGAATGATCTCATTCATTCATGGCTCCATCGCTAAATCAATCAGCTTCAATTGTTATTGACTTACCTGAAGTGTCCATTTTCTATCTTGGAATTATTACAAAAGATAAAAATGAAAACACTATCTTGCCTTTCTATTTTTGTCCTATCATGCTACTGTTCTGTAGTCTTGTCTACCTTAGTACGAGTTGCATATGTGTTTAATGTCTGCTACAAAATGTCTAAGGATCTATGTCATGTGGGTGACTTGACTTTCATAGCTTTCTCCATTTATTTTCAAAGTCATATAGACTAGAAGTCTAAGATAGGGATTGATCTCTAAAAGCTTGATCATACTAGAAAATGTCTGAATTTCCCATTATTCATTTTCTCCTGCACATGCTACTGAAGGACCTGTTCCTGAAAGAGTTAACTGAAAATTGACTATTCATGTTACCTCTGAAGTCAATAGGAAAATAATTAATATCAACACTTTGTTTTTGTATTTCAGTTTTCTGGCTCAAATCAAGTTTCTAAGAGGCAACAGATGGATCAACTGCCTAGAATGAAAGAGAATCTACTGAAAACGTATGTCTAGCTAGATCTTTTTCTCTATGACTAATTATATTTCCCTCTGAATGATCCTGATAAAACAGGTGTCTGCTATATTTTGGAAGCTGAACTTCTAGATTTTATAGCAATGGTATAAAAATTGCAAATGGTCAGAGAATCTAAAGAAGTTTGTGGTCTCTACTTGACTAGTCACATGGTATTTAAGCTTCGGGAAACATTTTCATTCCTCAAATATGGTAATATGTTATTGTTTAAACTGAATAAAGACTCCAAAGAGAGCTTAAAACTACATGACTACCAACAATAGCTGTGCAAGGATTCAGTGACAGCCTTACCCTTTTCAGTGAGGAAATATGTTCATTGCAGTGGACACACCACAGTTTATTCTTGTATAAACAACACAATTTGCTCCTGTGTAAAAAAAAAAAAGCCAATTTTTAATTTTAAAAAAGGGGAATTTTTAGGGGTTTCAGAGATTTTACCTACACATAAATTTTTCTGGTCCTAGTAAGTTCAGAATTAATCAATCTTTGCTTTACATAACCTTATCCCATGTATGGGAGTCTACACATAAAATAACACTAAAAAAATTAAACCAAAAGGTAAATAAGTTATAAATCAATCCTGTACAAGTACAGTCAAGACAAGAGGTACTCAAAGGATATGCAAATTTATTATTTCTTGAATAGTCATAAATTATTTAAATTATAATTATCACACATTTTATCATGGAAATATGATATAGTTTAAACAGTAAAATAAATTTTGGCAAAGGACTGCCATGTAAAAGTTATTATACCACTGTGTCTGAGATTCCCAAGATCATCTACCTGTTGACTCAGTGGTACAACACAAAGAGCTTGGAATATATTTGTACTTGTGCTAAGATTTATTACAGAGAAAAGATACAAAGCAACATCAGCATGGAAAAGACTCATGGAACGAAGTCTGTGCAAAAGCAAACTTCTGGAGTCCTCTGTTAGTAGAGTCCCATGGGATACATTCAGTTCCTCTGAGAATGAGTTGCGACAGCACAGGTTTGACAGCACATGAGGCTTTATCTACTGGGAAAACTCACTTAGCACTGAGGGGTTTTATCAAGTGGAGATTACACAAACATCTTCTACCTAACTCCTACCAAAATTTCAGATTCTCAGAAGATAAGTAGGTGTTTGCTTGTATAGTATAGGCACAGTTAGACATTTTATCATTTAGGGAAAGTTTTATATTAGGATAGTGAACTGTTTACTGCTAGGTTCCCAGAGATCAACAGAAAGCCAGCCTTGCAAGCGTTTCCAAGGGTAGTAATCTCAAACCTGCTGTGTTAACTCTTTGTACAACCACTATACATAATTACTTTTGTTTTCATTTTTATCCCAATCCAAAGCTCTTTTTTCAAAGATACAAGTTTTTTTTATTCAAACTCAGTGAAGGGGGATAAAAATAAAGCTTCATTCTCAGGTGGATCGTTGTGAGTTTGAGGCCAGCCTGGTCTACATAGTGAGTTCCAGGCCAGCTGGGGCTACAGGGAGACACTGTCTCAAAAAAAGAAAAAAAGAAAAAAAAAGATGATTAAAAAAAATAATAAAGCTTCATTCTAACCACAGTAATATACATATTCGTGTAGTCTTTATGACTATGAGAATAGTTTGGTGTTTCATCAGATACTGTCATAGACTGGGTCTCTCAGATAGTAAACCCTGAAATACCAATCAGCATACTCAGGAACTTGTCTACTTCTTGCCAGATTTCTTTAAGTTTGACTGAAAGACACCCCAGCAGATCACCAAGGTACCAAACCCATTCACGCTTGGCCCCTTGGGTAGCAGTGGCTACACACCATGTTGCAGTCAGCTTGTCTGTAGGGCTTTCCAGGACTTAGGTGTAAATTGCGCCTGAGGTACTGGTATGAAGAAATGGATGCCATTGACTGGGGGCTGGGCTCATTCAGCTGACTTATGACCTCCAGAGCTGCTCATTCTCCATTCCAGATCTATTTTATCTTAGATGATACCTAATATTAAAAATATTGCCCACTGGGGCTGGAGAAATGGCTCAGCGGTTAAAGAGCACAGATGCTCTTGCAGAGGACCCAGGTTCAAATCCTAGCACCCACATAGCTAACAGCCATCTATAACTTCCAGTTCCAGGGGATCTGACGCCCTCTTCTGACCTCTACAGGCATTGCACAACATGCATACACTTACACACATACAGCCAATATACTCATATTCATAAAGTAAGGATAATAGATGAAATATTTTTTAAAAATAAAAAATATTGCCCACCATAAATTGCTGCTTAATAATTTTTGAGTGAATGAATGAGTTGAATGGTTGAGCAGATGGACAAAAAAAGACCTTCACTCCCTGAAACCATAAGCAACCCTCAAACCTCATCTGATAAAAACATGTCTATCTTCCAAATTAGATATACATATATACAGTTTATACTGTCTCAAAATAGTTTCTGAGTTCTTGACTTAACAGTGGAAGGTGGTATCCTTTATTGACTTTTAAAAATTGAGTCACACAACCAGTTTTGCTGGTGAACACCTCACAGAAGCAGATATCCAAATGACTCGTGGATTTATGAAGAGGTACTCAGCACCATTACTCATTAGCAGAATGTAAGTGGGAATCATGAGACACAGCCACAAATTTTAAAGACTAATGATTCCAAGTGTTGTCAAGAAAGTGTAGGAGTGAGAGTTCTCATACACTGCTGGTAGGAGCATAAATTTATTCAACTGCTTGGCAATACTGTTTAGCATTAATTTCTGTATTTAGATGATCATACACCTACTCAACATCTCACCAATTCTACTTCTTATCATACTGAACAGAATGGTGTGGTGCATTTACCAACAAGTCTTACACAAGGGTATTCACGGAGACTTTATACAGAATAGTCAAAACTGAAAAAATAAAATGTTTATCAAGAGAGGAATGGATGATTTTATTTTTGTGGATGTATATTTATATAAGTAATAAGTAATAAACTATGGCTTATAGAACATTTGGATAATTGTCATGGTTTTCTTTTCTTAAAATAAAGTTCAGATGTATACAGTGGGATTCCATTCACATAAAGTTCAAAGACAGGCAAAATTAAGCTGGTGTCAGAACCACTATATGGTCATTGTAAATGGAAAAGAGAAAGAGATTGATAATTAGAAAACATATGAGGATGTCTTCGGTATAGTAACGTTCTATTTATTGACTGGAGGAGTGGTTGCATGAGCATTTTCTTTATGATACTTCATGGAGCTGTAAGTTATGTTTTGCATATGTCAATACTTTAAACAACATTTTAAAACTCACATGTCAGTGGCTTTAGTGTTAGCTTTGGTTCATATTCTCTTTTGTGCTAATCAACTTTCATCTATTACAAAATGACTGAGATAATGAAGGTTTATTTTTGCCTTATGGTTTTGGAAGTTCTGGTCTCTGATTTCTCTCATTGTGTTGTGCCTGTTGTGAGCACTGGATGGTGGTAATACATGGTAGGGCAGAACTGCCACCCACAAACCAGGGAGCAAAAAAAATGAAAACAAGGGGCTGGTTCCATTGTTACCTTCAAAGCTATGCCCCAGTGTCCTCAAACACTTTTCACCGGGCCCAGCCTCCTCCAAATTCCACAATTTTCCATTAGCATTTCCAGGGACAAAGTTTAACAAATGGGCCTTTGGGTGATACATAACATCCAAATGACAGCAGTAGTAATGCTAAAATATTGGCTTACAGGGTTTATACTGAGTTTAATATTGTATAACTGTATTAATTCAACTGTGAACCTAAAAATTTTATAGCCACTTTTGAAAGAGATGTATCTTTCCTCTGGGAATTGCTATTGAGTATGTTAAAGCTGTAATGAAATGCTTCTTCTAAAAAATAAAAAAAATTAAAAATATTGGCTTATGATATTTTCTAAAGTTCAGAATAAATCAGAGCATTACAAGATACCCAATTAAACAAAATTCTGTTTTAAAAATATATCAAAAAGTGATTATATCCAATTGAATATCAGCAATTATAATCCTATGGTCTATAAACAAAAAAGATATCTCTATCTTACTAAAAGATATATACTAGACATCAGTAAAAATATACATATTTTTACATATATATACTGATTTTTTAAGAGGATTACTAAGATGCTTAAGGGAAATATTCTCCTTAGAATTAGGTTTGGAAATCACAAAAAAAACCTCCGCTTAAGCTGAGAAGTAACTTTAGATGATGAACCATGGCATATATTAACTATGAAAACCATATCCTTGCAAGTAAGGAACTGAAAGAAGATGGATATGACCCCAATAGTTCAAACAGTACTGAACTATAAAATGTCTTTTTCTTTGGTATGCAGCCTCCTATTTGTTATGTTTATGAAAGTTTTATAGAGTGATTATATGCCCTGGAAGAAGGAAGCAAAGAATGCCTTAGTGCTCTGGAATGAAAGCACCTTTGGGAAATTAATGCTAAGGTTGTTAAGAGGCATTGTTAGGAGAAATTCCTTTTGATAAAAGAAGCAGATATAGAAAGCACAATCAACATGCTCAATCTTAAAGAAGTAATTTCATAAACTATAATAATTTAAGAGGTTCAAAATTTTTCTTCTAGAAGATTCTAAAATATAGATCATAAAAGAAAACATAACTG